GTTAACATGTGAACATCATCAGCCCGACTTTACTCTGAAAACAAAAGTGTGATTTGAACATTTGTGAAATTTCATGAACTCCAAACGACAGAGATAGCCATGTACGGCAGAACGAAACTGGCAGAGGAATTCTTGTCTACAACAAGAGGTCCGCAACCCTTAGTGGTCAACGGAGGTACTGCAAATTGGTCATGAAATTTTTGGTTGGATTTGTGGTATTAAAATACACAGGTTTTTTTCAACACTAGTACTTAGATAATATTAAACACTATTTTATAAAATATACGAATATATACTCGAGAAAGAAAAAGATTTGTGTTGAACTTAAAATATACCTAAAGACACCAACCCACGTGGACCACATGTTAAATACATTCATATCACACCTGATGATTTTCTTATTGTTTTATGTTGAAAAAAATAAGGTCTAACCCACATTTTGTGTTCACAAGGCAGTTTTGCATAATATTTGTGGGTAGACATCTAAAATAAAAAATGTGGGCCACATTTGTCCGGAAGCGGTACTGGTCCAGATTGGGTGTACAGGATTCGTAGTCTAAAACTTAAACTGATCATCTTCCTGTCCTTTGTTGGACAAAAGAAACTTGTCTGGTCCATATATGGTTCCCAAAATGAAGACCAATCTTCTGGTCATCTTCCTGTCCTTTGTTGGACAAAAGTAGTCTAAAACTTAAACTGATCATCTTCCTGTCCTTTGTTGGACAAAAGAAACTTGTCTGGTCCATATATGGTTCCCAAAATGAAGACCACAAATTTGGCACTTTTTCTGTGTTATGTTGGTCAAGAGATACTTCGTGGCCCACTTTGTATTCAGAAACACAGATAGAATTACTTCTGCCCATCCTTCATAAGGTTATCCATGTGTGGCCCACAATTTATTCACTTTAAATACAAACTGGACCAAACAAACTGGGCCACATCGGGGAATCAGAACTCGGGCTACATTCTAAGCCTTTATTGGACCATGTAGTCCATGTTTGCTTTGAAGGAATAAAAGAATGATAACTCTGTCCTGCATTAAAGACAACCACATGTCGTGCATCTATTTGAAAAATCTCTACCGTAGAGGTTCCCAAACTTTTTGGTGTGCCCAAAGTCCGACCCGCAGGCCAGTCGTAGCACTTGGACAGGTTTATTGTTGCCCTTGACTTTCCTCTGAAAATGTTTTATTCATGGCTGGCCAGCACGATCAAACAGAAATAATAAATCATAGGAGTCCAAGTTACAATTCCCCTCCTGAGGTATGCAGCAGCCATCACATCACTCTCTGTTTTTACTACTGATGCTTTTAAAGGCCCATAACCCGCTGTAGTATGGTGAACACTGTAGTGGAACACAAGGATTCCTGACTGCATCCTGGAGGCTGACCTGAAATGCAGAGAAAATCTTAGGTTTTTGTTGGAATTTGACTTGACTTGATCTTGTTTCACATCAACACAAAATAATTATTAGAATTTAAATGTACTCATTCACTGCATGCAATATGCATTTGATCAAATAGGAATTCTTATTTAACAGATCACCAGAGGAGCAGTTTACATCGACTGTACAACCAGAAATGGATCTGGCCCAGTGATGGGTCACATCATTTCTTTGACTTTACCTGCCCACACTGTGGGCTGCAGACCATGACTTTGCAAAGCTACGGCTCAATCCGGCCCTCTTCTAATACGTGTGGCCCAACACGGACTCAAAAGAGGAAGCATTTTGGTTACATTTGTCACCCACATTCTAGATGTGGGTCATGTCATTGTTATATAAAGGTCAAGTGGTAAACTGTTTGTGTCGTCCGTCATTGGACTGAACTCATTTTCCTCTACTACCAATCTAGGAAGTTAAGTAAAATGTTGAATAAGCAGAACAGAATGCTTCATTTTGATGAATGCAGTATTTTTTCATTTGTAGAAAATAACGACAAATGCAATACAATAACGAAATTTGACAAGAGAAACAAGGGAGCCCTAGTTTCCTGACCCACATCCAAAAAAAAAAAAAAAAAAAAATCCAGACTCTCCCTCTAAAATCCACCTGAGGAGGCAAGTTTGTTGAGATCAGATCATACATGTTATCTGCTGTCAGTAGACGCTCCGCTGCAGCGTCACCTTCCTCTGGCTGTAAGGTGTTGAGTGCAGCTGCAGTGTACGACTGTACCTCTGCCTGTTTTCTAAATATCCTCCCTTCATTCTGTGCAGGAGTCTCATCTCCCTGTCGTTCACTGCTCCGTCTCTCCTCTGTATTCCTCTGCTCTCCTGAGACAATGAACACATTCAGTCAAATCTGTTTTCACAGGCTGTGAAGGAGAGACGGCCAGCTTTGTTTTTGCACCAGTGTGTGTGCGTGTGTGTGCGTTTGTGTTCGACAGATAAAGAAACAGACGTGCCTGTGTGCGTGTGTGTGCACAAATGACATATTTGTGTGTCAGTGCGCCAATGTGAGCCAGCGAGACTCCTTGCGTCATGCCTTCGACATGTGAGTCACCCTCTCTTGAGTCTTGGGCTTTAAGTAGTGAGTAAGAGACCTTTACTTCCTGTCAAAAACAACCTTCACTGCCTTTATTCCACCACACGTTGTTTTGGATGCAACGATCTTGTCAGGTTCAACCTGGTGCCATGACAACTTAGTCTACGGCCACAGTGGTCTGTGTGAAACCTATAGCCATATCAACTACGTCTAAAACGACAAACTAACAACTGGATGTGGGTTACTAAAAATAGTCCAGTAAGAGAATATTCTCTCTTTGTTGGATCTACAAGATGTGGGCCAGATAAACATGTCTGGTCCAATATGAGGCAAGATAAATTTCGAGCAAATTTAAAAACCCAGATGTGGGTTGAAATAATTGGTCTGGTCCAACGTACAGCCAAGTAAATGCTGCTTAATTTCTCTAAGCAGACATGGGCCACATAAACTATGTTGGTCTGACAGAGAGCAAGATTCATGTTGGTGAGATTCTAACAGATTCTCAGATCAAGACGTGGGTCAGAAGCCTTCGTCTGGTCCAACGCGACACATTCCAACAGTGCAACACAATGAGATCCCCAGTCAATGAAGTTCAACTTCATCAACCTAACCCAGCATGAGGGCATATGGACCTCAGTGTACCACTGCTGTAATGCATGAATGACAACAAGCCTCCAGTCACTAGGTGGCAGCAACTCATACAGTGGTTTGTACAGATAAGAATATGTGTGTTATCAGGTTGTCAATAGTAGTTCAATTCGTGGGGGTGTGGGTCAGTCAGTGAATTCATAAGACCCATTCCTCACACTTTAGTTCTCCCTTCATTGTCTGTCCTGTCTCCCTCTGCTCGTCACCCACAGGGTGTCCTGTCAATAATCATCGTTTCACCTTGTCCTGGGGTTTGAAACCTGACACCCAGTCTAATGGAGACGCACATGTGACCACAGTCACCTGCTTCTCCATTGTTGCTCAAGAGCAGTGGAAAAACAAACATTTTCTCTCAGATATCTCATCGTGACGAGTTGACGCAGGCCGTTCATGAATAATAGTGTTGTCCAGAAGTGTCTTCTCTAGTGGCCTGCTGGGATAATTGCAGGTGAGCCATGACGAAGAGAAAGAGAGAAGCAGAAAGATAGAAGGAGAGGTGAAAAAAGACATGGAGATGGAGATAAACAGATGTGACGTCTGTGGTTGATGACTAACACTGGAGACACCCTCTGGGTTTCTTCAACAGGGCTTCAACAAAAGGTGGAAGCTGTGAGAGCTCCAGTCCTTCAGTGTCACTGAGACATCGAACAGACACATGAAAAAAGACAAAACTCCAACAGATAATGAATGAGCAGAAAACAGTGAGAAGATTCTGCAGATGTTTCATTGTTTTTCAGGAGGAACGCCGTTGTTTTCAAGCCGTCACTCTAATCTGTGACATGTTGGGGAAAAGCAGTTTGCAGGCAGTGTGCAGATGGGTTTTTTGTTGGAACTTTTCCACCATCTAGTGGTCGTGCCGGTACTGTTGCATGTTACAGCTGCACATTTCTACCACTTAATGATTTTCAAGGTCTTGTGAGGGAGCTAACGTCAGTCTCAGGCAGGAGGACTGACCCACTGTGAGGCCCTCAGTAAAGAGTGGTCAGTAGAAAGTGACAGTGATCAGGGCTGGCTTGTGACAAGAGTGAAAGTGGAAGAGTGACAGCAGTGAGATTTGCTATGATGGTTTTTTAGAGATGGTAAATTCTGGAGCTGGTTCAAAATGCAGTGCTTGTTATTGGTTTTGAAGTAAAGTGAAAGTGAATTATTTGCCATTGTGACACAGCACACCACTGCACACAACGAACCTGAAGCCTTCCAAACCCAAGTCCACTTTCTTAACCACTGAGCCACATTGCACTAAAAATGAATGCACCGCCCGGGAATCGAACCCAGGTCGCAAGAATGGGAATCTTGCATGATACCACTACACCAGCGGTGCGCGTTTCATTGGTTAATGAAAATGTTATTTCCAAGACCAGAAAACTGAATGTCAGCACTGTTTTTGTTTCTTACTTTGAGGACACACAACGAATTTTGTTAACATTCCTGGGCTAATGTTTGTTCAGTGACTTTTTTGACTCGATTATATATTTTTGTGTGCATAAATTGTTCTTTTTGTGGAATCTGTTCCTTGTTGTTCTAACAACCTTTAAGAGACTCCTTCAACTCCTAACTCCAACTATAAAGTATGGTTTTATTAATCAGATTTTTTTACCCAACTCTTTTGTCTTACCGAACTCCAATCAGATTTTTTTTACCCAACTCTTTTGTCTTACCTAAGTCATTTTACATAATCTTTGGCATTTTTAGTGTAATGACAAAACTGAAATCAGTTAAAAAAAAGTATCCAAACACAACAAGCAGCCTAGCATCACTGAAAACCAGCCATCAGCCAAACTAGCTCTACGTCTTGACTGAGAAAAGAGGAAGAATGCAATGAAGCAAAACATCCAGATAGTCGGGCTAACGGTGCAGTAAACAAAAGCAAATTTAGCCAGAATGTGCTCAATGATTTAATGGTCTGATTATGTTTATGTATGTGAAATATAGAACAAAATGTAGTTAAAGAAAATATACTAATAATTAAAAATGGCAGCTGTGATTAAAGGCACAACATGATGTCACACAAGACACATTTACACACTGTGAAAGCCTGGTTTGTGAGATTAAAAACACAAAAAGAGCAATGTGAAAATAAATAATTCTATTATTAAGGGTGACGCGTGCAGCACCTACAATAATTATTGTGTTATGACTTGCACATGGAGCTTCAAATGAGATAAATACTCTTTAAATGTTTTCATTCAAACCCCACAGTACCAGGAAGATCCAGCAGGGCGGTGACAAAAGAGGTATTTGAGTTGAAGAATAGCTTTTTATCTGTTACAGTTATTTGGCTCTGTGTCTGGAAGATGCACCAGTGTGAAAGACACAGTCCCAGGTTTTGTCTCTTGTGTGTTTACATGGCCGTGTCCTCGTCCTCCTCTGGCTCTGGCAGACTTCCAGGACAGGGCTCCATGGTTACAGCGATACCCATCCCACTGCGTCCTACAGGCATGTCCGTGACCCTGTTCCATACGTTACCCTCCAGACAGTAACACTCGATACTGGCCAGGTAACCACTCTGGTTGAAGCCACCTGCACAGAAACACACACAAAACATGACATGTTTATCACCAGCTACGCTAACTCTTAGCAATCCATTAGTTATTTTTAGCTACTATTTGGCTGACTTTCAGACTTTTCTGACCTATTTTTTGGCTTTTTTCCCCCCTTGTTCCACATTCCACATTTTTTATTACACACAGAACTGTGGCTACAACGTTCTGTGCACCTGACTTTCCTTCCTAAAGCTATCTTTTAGATATTTTGGTAAAACAAATTACAATGTGACATAACTGACCGAGGACGAAGATGCAGCTCTGATAGACGGTCGCTCCGTGTGCACTCCGGCCAAAATGCATGGAGGCTCTGGGTTCCCAAACATTCCTGGCAATATTGTAACGTTCCATAGAGGAGAGCTGGGTGGTCCCATCATAGCCTCCTATGGCATACAGGTAACCATTCACACAGACTAGACCTGAAAAAACACGGACAGAAGAGTGAAAACAATTTAGGATAAAACTTCACTTAACAACACAGATAGATGTTAGAGAGAAACCTCTCATTTTAATTAAAATAAGAATTAACACAAATAAACCATTTTTCCAGTACATTTTCAGTTGAGACTTTATCACCCCAACCTGCTGCACAACTTTTCCTCTGTCAAAAAATGAATGTCCTGAAAATATTTGACTTTTCAGCTGAAATCAGTATATGTAGAATTCCTTTTTTCCAACAGGATATTCCCCCAAACACCATGAGAGGGAGCCTCAGTACCACTACTTGTACCACAGTATGAGACACTGAATTAAAGTGGCTCCTGGGTTAGAAGTTTTACACAGTATTACTGAAGGCCAGAACACACTCACCCAGTCCACTGCGCATGGTACTCATTGGCGCCAGCTGCTGCCAGGTGTTGGTCTCGGGCAGGTATTTTTCAGCAGTGTCCCAGCGACTTTGCCCGTCGTACCCCCCAGCCACATACAGAGTCCCCCCACAGGCGGCCACGCCTGCCCCAAGACGAGCCACGGACATGGGACAAATGAAGGACCAGCGATTTGTCTCAGGATCCCACCTGCAGATCACAACGCAGTCATGTAACACTTGATCTTGGTGTGTTGATAATCTGAACCTGATGACATCACCTGTTATCTCATTAAAATATGAATTAAAACCTAAAGCGGGTTTAGCCTTGGGGGATTTGAAAGAGTCAATTTCAAATGGAACAGTCAACATGTTCAGCAGTTATTGATGAGCTCGGTCTGAGGCCTGAAGAAGACTCAGAGGAAGATCACAACAAGGAGAAAAAAAAAATTCACATTCACATTCACATCCTTATCAGATGTGACAGTCATTGGATTAAAGGATTAGAAATGATTCATTGACAGCCTCTGCACTCCTCCCTGCTCCGTGGTGGAAAGAACAAAAACGTAAAGCATTCCCGACCAGGTCAACATTCCTGGGAATTATGTTTCGACATGTTTTCAAAGAGCCTAATTAGACTAAAAGGACTAAGAGAGCTGCGAAATGTTTGTCTGATGACTCTTCAGGTAGAATGGCAGCCATAGAGGCGACGACCTTCTTACCATGATACACACTTGTACACAGGCTGCAGCACTTTAAGTGAAAAATACTTCAAATTTCCCTGATAAAAACATGTGATTACGTTCAATTGGCTCCTCCAGTGGATTCTTAGACACATAAATCCTCTCTGAGCCGCACAAACACACACACACAGTGAGGTCTGACCTCTCCACCGTGTTGTGATGCGTGGAACCCAGGGATCCTCCCACGGCGTAGATGCAGCCGTCCACTACGGCCACGCCCACTCTGTTTCTGGCCATGTGCATCGACGCCCGCTGGCTCCACTGGTTGGTCATGGGGTTGTAGCAGCAGAGGGCACTAGACTCCGTGTTGTTCTGAAGTGATAAGTATCTGCCGCCGACCTGGATTCATGACAAAACAAGGATAAGAGAAAGAGACAGAGAGAAAGAGAAAGAGAGAGAGAGAGAGAGAGAGTACTTTGTCTCTGTTTCCAAACTAGGTTCCTCTGAGATGCAACACATTGAGGTATAGTAGATGTAACGGTAAGAGCTTATATACTGTTACTGTTACCAAGGTTGTCCAACGAAGTACCCATTGGCAGTAAAAGTTGAGAGTACCATCTAGCAGGAGTCTACATTCTACATTGGTGAGGATTTCCTTTTACAATTATCACCCCCAACTCCATGTTCCCTGTGAGGATGGTGTTCTTTGGGTTCTATGACTCTCCTTCCCCCCCTCCTGATATAATATGGAACAAAACCTTTTGTGTTTCATCGTTTCAGTGGAGGAGGAAGGTGGGGTTTGCTGTGAGGATGGTGTGAACCTACGGTGTAGAGCAGTCCAAACAGAGCACAGGCTCCCAGGCCACTGCAGGGTGTGGTCATGTCAGCCAGCCTCAGCCACACGTTCCTCCTGGGATCAAAGGCCTCCATGGACGCCAAAGACTGTTGTCTGTATCTGTGGTGGGTCAATCAGATGAAAGTCCAATGTAGACCAAGTATTTTACTAGATTTAAGAACCGTACCATCCAGAGCAGGTTATTTATTTTTCCCCCCACTGAAACATATTTTAGTATTTTCCCCCTCATTCTTGTACTATTTGTACAGTACTTGGTTTAGAAACCAAGTTTCTGCCTCTTTCTGCCCCATCTCAGCAGTATATTCAGACACCTGAATGTTATCCATTCATCTTTGAATAACTAACACATGCTCAACATTTAAGTAGTACTATGATAAATATTTGTTTTGCTAATTGTTTTCAACAATCTGTGGTTAGTGTTTTGTTGTTTGATGTTTTCAACTTGTATTTTATCTTATAAGCTTTTTTTAGGTTAACTTTTTTAAAAATTGTTTTTCTTCTTTTTGTAAATTTCTGAAGGCTTTGCTTTTTCACGTTGTATTTAACGCACTCTGCATGTAGACAGAGAGATCCAGAAGCTCTTTTCTACAAAGTCCTTGCTCAACCTCATGTTCACTATGGTTTTACTAGATCCTGGTAAGAAGTAAAAGAAGTTCCTGTTGTGAATATTTTAACATTTAATATTTTCACAGACACATAACTCAGATATAGGCAAAGATTTCTTGCTTAGTTTGTTTTCAAAATTTGAAAATACAAAGAGTGAATGACTGTTTAACAGCCACTAGGTGGCAGAAAAGGACTTTAAAGTTTGCATGCAAGAATACTGCACTAGAATAACACTTAGCAGCAGATGAGATGTATCTAAGATATATATATATTTTATACAACGTCAATAACGTCCTCACAAAGTTTAGACATATATTCACACAGAGGCTGAAGGACTAACAGTAGAAAAGTCAGTAGCCTTTGTGGACTTCATAATCTCTGGGTGTTTTAAAAAAATACAAATTGTTCTTAGGAGCCCGTAGTGTCTGACAAGTGATCATTTTAGTTATTTGCAAAGTGTTGCAGGAGAAGAAACATGTTTCTTACCCCCCAGCGACATAGATCAGATGAGTCCCACGGTTTGGAGCAGGCGGCAGTTTTCTAAGTGTCATATCCTGGAAGATTTTAGAAAGGAAATCCTTACAGGAGTTGGCCTGTTTTCATAAAAGGAGAAAGAAACTGAAAACCTGGAAAACAGTCAGAATATTCATTTACTGTGAAATATTAAAGAATACCTCAGAATATTCATTTACTGTGAAATATTTTTTTCCAGTCCTTTAACAAATATTGATGAAACATGGCAAATGGAGGGAATTTTAAAATACTGGTATTATGAGGATACATTTTGGAAAGGC